TATGCTGGAGTATGAGCCCCCAATGATGTTACATATGGGGTTAGTCCTGCCATAGTGTCGCTTGTATAGATGTGTGGCCAGAGGTGGCAATGAGGTACGTAGCAGGGATAATGTGAGATTACAGGATTTTTGATGTGACCATGCAGAATATGGTAGCACTCTCTTTTGTTTGTTAGCCCAAACTCTGTCCAAAGTGGATAAGTGGGTAAGTCTATTGAAAGCTGATGCTTTGCTGATTCTCTTCATACTATTCAAACGCACGTGTGATTTTTGCATTTAAAGTTATAAGAATTGACAATTTTCTGGTATCCCAAGTATTTGCTTGGTTGCTCGGTGCTGGCTGTGACACAGGGAAAGCTGGAGTGTCTGAGGGGATTGCTCATGGGACTTTCTGCTGGCTAGCGCAGCAAACAGAAGTGCTCTTTGTGACTGGTTCAGTCGCGTTTTAGTGGAGGTCCCCCGCTCTTGTGCTGTAAGTAGCCCCATTTCTAGCAGTCACCCTCATTTGACCCTCCCAGCAGTGCCCCCAGAACCCATTCTATTACAGTAGATAGTAGGACAGAGCTGGCATCGGGGTGTGTGGCAGAGAGCCGTTCCCCGAGTAAGCGTTTCTGTGGTGTGTTGTGTGGCTGCTGGTATTTGCTTCATGTTGGCGGGCAAGTACTCAGCAGCAGCCACACAACACACCACAGAAACACTCGCCCAGGAACCTACTTCCGCAACAAAGCCCATTGCCAGTTCTGTCCACACACCCATACAAGTGACCCATACAAGTGACACTATCAGAGGAGCTAACCACATACGCCCCAACATCAGGGGCTCATCCACCTGAACATCCTCTCGTGTGCTGTCTGCCCTCCTGTGCCAGCAATGCCCCTCTGCTATTGACATTGGCCAGACCAGACAGTCTCTACACATTGAGAATGGGAACACACACACCTGTAGGGGAACATTTTAACCTCGCAGGACCTTCAAGAATGGATTTGAAAGTAGCCATCCTTCTTCGAAAGAATTTCAGAACCTGATTTCAAAGGGAGACAGCTGACCTGAAGAAGTTCATTTGCAAATTCAACACAATCAACTTACGATTGAACAAGGATCTTAACTGGTTAGTGCACAACAAAGGCAATTTTCCCATCTCTTGACTTTCGCATCCCCACATCAACTGCTGAAAATGGGCCACTTCCACCCTGACTTGATTAGCCTCATTAACACAAGTAACTTATGTATCCTCCCCCCCGTACCTTCCACTCCAATTCATCTGATGAAGTGGGTTTCCCCAACGAAAACCAGTGCTCAAAGGCTACATCTATACTATAGCCTTCTTGCAGAAAATCATATGCAAATAAAGTGCAGCATGGAATATCACCGCACTTCATTTGCATAAGTAATGAGCAGCCATTTTTGCGCAAGAGCCATTCTTTCTTACTTTCTGAGGTGGTGGTGGTTGGGGTCTCCCTCTTGAGCAGAGCCAGCCCAAGCCATTCTTGTGCCCTGGGCAGCGGGAGCGCAGCGCATACGTGGCCCCGCCCCAAGTGCGTGTGCATGGCCCTGCCCCCAGGCAGCAACCTATGAGTGGCACCTGATGCGGCACCCCTTACCACTTCAATCAGGCACCCCCCCCATAGGTTGGCACCCCAGGCAGATGCCCGGCTAGCCCCCCCTCCCTTATTTTGGCCCTGCTCCTAAGATTGACAGAGTCATCCATCTGCCATCCAGACCTGGAATCTCAAGAAGTGTGCTGCTTACTGGGAGCTTGAATTCAGGATGTGACTGAGACTCTTCCAAAAGTCATCAAACCTTCAGGTCGCCACCCCTTTCTGCTGCTCCATGTGGGAACTAACGATATGGCCAAGAATGACCTTGAGCGGGTCACTGCAGCTTATGTAGCACTGGGAAGAAGGATGAAGGAATTTGAAGCACAAGTGGTGTTCTCCTCCATCCTCCCTGGTGAAGGAAATGGTCCAGGTAGGGATCGTCGAATTGAGGAAGTAAATGCGTGGTTGTGCAGGTGGTGTCTGAGAGACGGCTTTGGTTTCTTTGACCATGGGATTCTGTTCTGGGCACAAGGATTGGTAGGAAGAGATGGGCTCCACCTAACATAGAGAGGAAAGAGCATCTTCTTGGGCAGGTTTGCAAACCTAGTGAGGAGGGCTTTAAACTAGGTTCATTGGAGGATGGTGACCAAATTCCTCAGATAAGTGGGGAAGTCGGTTACTGGGAAGAAACACAAGGAGGAAGGAGCAATAAAGGAGGACCCCTGATTTGAATGCAGAAGGTAGGGCTATCAACTGCTTATCTAAGGTGTTTCTTCACAAATGCAAGAAGCCTGTTGAGAGTCTATGGCTTAAGCTTAGAGGTGTAAGTAAGAGGGGTGATGTTGCAGTTGGCGTATGCTACAGGCCACCGGATCAGGTGGATGAGGTAGATGAGGCTTTCTTCAGACAACTGAGAGAAGCTTCCAGATTGGAGGCCCTGGTTCTCGTGGGCAACTTTAATCATCCTGACATCTCTTGGAAGACCAATACAGCAGCACACAGACAATCCAGGAAGTTTTTGGAGAATGTTGGGGATAACTTCTTGGTACAAGTGCAGAAGGAACCGGCCAGGGGCCATGCGCAGCTTGACCTGCTGCTCACAAACAGGGAGGAACTAATAGGAGAAGTAGGGGTGGGTGACAACCAGGGACACAGTGATCATGAGATAGTAGATTTCAGGATCCTGACCAAAGGAAGAAAGGAAAGTAGCAAAATACACACCCTGGACTTCAGAAAAGCAGACTTTGACTCCCTCAGAGAACTGATAGGCAGGATTCCCTGCAGTGCTTACATGAAGGTGAAAGGAGCCCAGGAGAGCTGGCAGTATTTTAAAGAAGCCTTATTGAAGGCACAGGAAGAAACCATTCCGATGCTCAGTAAGAAAAGCAAAAATGGTTGGCGACCAGATTGGCTTATCAGGGAAATCCTTGGTGAACTTAAGCACAAAAAGGAAGCTTACAAGAAGTGGAAACTTGGACAGATGGACTAGGGAGTCGTATAAATATATTGCTCGAGAATGCAGTGAAGTTATCAGTAAGGTGAAAGCGCAATTGGAATAGCAGCTAGCAAGCGATGTGAAGGGGAGCAAGAAAGGTTTCTACAGGCAAGTTAGCAATAAGAGGGTGATCATAGAGGGTGTGGGGCCCTTACTAGATGAAGGAGATAACCTAGTGACAAATGATATGGGAAAAGCTGAAGTACTCGATGCTTTCTTTGCCTCTGTCTTCACAGACTAGGACAGCTCCCAGACTACTGCACTAGGCAACTCAGTATGGCAAGGAGGTGGACAGCCCTTGGTGGGGGAAAAACAGGTTAGGATTTATTTAGAAAAGCTAAACATACACAAATCCATGGGCCCCGATTTAATGCACACGAGGGTTCTGAGGAAGTTGGCAAATGACATTTCAGAGTTTTGGCCATTATTTTTGAAAACTCATGGAGATCAGGAGAGATCCCGGATGACTGGAAAAAGGCAAATGTAGTGCCCATCTTTTAAAAAGAGAAGAAGGACGATCCAGGGAACTACAGACCAGTCAGCCTCACCTCAGTCCCCAGAAAAATCATGGAGGGGATCCTCAAGGAATCCATTTTGAAGCACTTGGAAGAGGGGAAAGTGATCAAGAATAGTCAACATGGAATCACAAAGGGCAAGTCGTGACTGACCAATCTGATTAGCTTCTATGATGAGGTAATGGGCTCTGTGGACGTGGGAAAGGCAGGGGATGTGAGATACCTCGACTTTAGCAAAGCTTTTGATACGGTCTCCCACAATATTCTTGCCAGTAAGTTAAGGGAGTATGGATTGGATAAATGGACGGTAAGATGGATAGAAAGCTGGCTAGAATATCGGGCCCAACGGGTTGTGATCAATGGATTGATATCAGGTTTCTAGCGGAGTGCCCCAAGGATCGGTTCTAGGACCGGTTTTGTTCAACATCTTTATTAATGACCTGGATGAGGGGATGGATTGCACCCTCAACAAGTTTGCAGATGACACTAAGCTGGGGGAGAGGTAGATACGCTGGGGGGTAGGAATAGGGTCCAGATTGACCTAGACAGATTAGAAGATTGGGCCACAAGAAATCTGATGAGGTTCAACAAGGACAAATGCAGAGTCCTGCCCTTGGGAGGGAAGAATCCCAAGCATTGTTACAGGCTGGGGACCAACTGGCTAAGTAGCAGTTCTGCAGAAAAGGACCTGGGGGTTACAATGGATGAGAAGCTGGAGATGAGTCAACAGGGGGCCCTTGTAGCCAAGAAGGCTAATGGCATATTAGGGTGCATTAGGAGGAGCATTGCCAGCAGATCTAGAGAAATGATTATTCCCCTTTATTTGGCTCTGATGAGGCCACATCTGGAGTATTGTGTCCAGTTCTGGCCCCCCCGCTACAGTAAGGATGTGGACACATTGGAAAGCATCCACAGGATGACAAACAAAATGATTAGGGGGCTGGAGCACATGACCTGTGAGGAGAGGCTGAGGGATTTGGCTTTGTTTAGTCTGCAGAAGCGAAGAGTGAGGGGGGATTTGAGAGCAGCCTTCAACTTCCTGAAGGGAGAGTTCAAAGAGAATTGAGAGAGGCTGTTCACAGTAGTCATGGATGGCAGAACAAGGAGCAATGGTCTCAAATTACAGTGAGGGAGGTCAAGAGCTGGTAGTTATGCTGGATAGACGAGAGCCATTCATTCACATTTTATGAGGTTGTAAGTGTAAGTGCAGCATGTTTGTGATGAGATGTAATTGTAACTGCTACTTTTAAATACAAAATTTAGTATTTTATTGAGTATTTTTTTAAATAAAAAAAATCCTATTTAAATTTTTTAAAATCTGGTTGTTTTTATCCACCCTGGACATAATCCGAACTAATAACAACACTTGAATTGTGGTCTTCTTGTAGTTGTCTCCCAGAAGTAATCAATGAACCGCTGACACTGACTTTCTTTGTTTCTGTTAAGACTCCTCTGTCCAAGGACAAGCAAGAATGTTGACGAGGGTCAAAATAGGGCTCGCACTCACTTTTCTCTTTGTCCTGGCCTTTGTCTATAAACGTTCCCTCTCGCCTGGCTGCCTCTACTCATGCAAGCCGAGTCCTGAGCCGTTCCTCGTTGAAGAGGATGACGTGAGCCAGAGCAGCGGCATCATCTTTGTGGAGACCACAGATGACCTCAGGATTCCTCCGTTGGCTTCGTGTTCTGTGGAATCTGCTGCCAGGGCCTACCCGGACAGACCCGTTCGTTTCTTCATAAAAGGGATGAAAAATAACACGTGGCGGGATTTAAATTCCACTTCCGCCGCCTTCGCTCTTCTATCTGCCATGGAGAACGTCTTCCTTCTGCCTCTCCCGATGGAAACTGTTTTCCAGGACACACCTCTGCTCCCATGGTATCATAAGGTGAGAGGAAATATTAAGGGGAAAATATTTCAGCCGCCAAACAGAATTGAAAATGAGGGGTTCTTTGGCACAGTTTTTTTTCAAGTTTTTAAGCTGTTGTCATTTTGCTGCACCTAATGTGGACCCCTTTTTCATGACACTTAACCATGCATTAGTCAAAATATTGATTGAAATTGTTATGGACGTTGCACAGTTCCTGATGGCAGGAGTTATAGCAAATAGACCAATTCCATCACAATTTCGATAACCATATTTTCCCGAAGTGGTGAACCGCCCTCTTTTCCGAAAAGGGAAGAGATTGATAAAAATGTTGTACTTGAAAAAAATTCAGTCAGCATGAATTTAAAGTGAGGATTTACTGTTTGGGAAACATGATTTCTGTGTCTGGTAGCAACGAAAACATCACCAGCTTTAGAAGTGAGAGAGGAATTCAGAGGTCAATCCCGGGGGAAAGGCTCCACTCTTTACCCGCTCCTCTCAGGAGTGTTGTTCTGAGAGTTCACACCCCTCCGAGTTTTTACTTTGGCCTGTTTGAAAACACAGGCTGGCATCCTCCTACACGGTAAGAGCCAGGATCACGACATTTGGTGGGAAGCTCTCTTATAACTTAAAACAAGGTCGGGGTTTGATTGTGCCAGGACAATGGGATGTGCCTGGACTGTGATTGCGTCTCTGAAAATCATACAGAAGAGAGACAAAATCACCAGGCTGGTGAAAGGGGTTGGCTGGGGGCGAGCTCCCCCTCCCTGTTGGGGACTTCCCCAGCCCTGAGCCCCCCGCCCTCCAGGGGCTCTTTCGGGAGGGCAGGGAGCTGAAGCCCTTGCCCCCAGATTCAGGCACGTCATTGGCTGTTCCCCTTTCTTAGGGAGTAAGGGGGAAGTGCACAGTTTGCTACATTCCTCACTCTGACTGAGGAGTACAAGGGGCAGAAGAACCTGGACCTGCCCCAGCTGGGAACTTGCATCCCTCCCCTAATTATGCCTGCTAGAACTGCAGCAGCCATGGAGAGATGCTTCTCACCTGGCCCCACGCTGCTCCAGTGAGAGAGCGCTGGGTTAGTCCTCCCTCCCTGGGGCAGGCTGCATCCTGAACCCCTCCCCCAACCCCAAGCAATGATGTCAATGACGAAAAACATTGGGTTAGTCCTCTCTTCCTTGGAACAGACTGCACCCTAAATCCCGCCTCCCCAGCCTGACCTCAGAATCGCTATTTACATAAAGAGAGCCAAAAATGGATTGAGTTAAAATCCCAAGCAAGGCTGGGTAAATCTTCTAGTTTATTTTTAAATAAATGCCGAGAGTCCGGAGAATCCTAGAATCCTAGCACACTAGAACTGGAAGGGACCTTGAGAGGTCATCGAGTCCAGTCCCCTGCCCTCACGGCAGGACCCAGCATCGTCTAGATCAGCAGTTCCCAACCTTTTCCAGATGGGGACCCATTTTGACAATTCAGGAAGACTTGGTGACCCAAGGCAATTCAAAAAACTATGTGAATGGCTCCTTAAGAGCCCCCTGCAGAGCTACCTGGTGACTCTTTCGAAATGTAATGGCGACCCATATGTGGGTCGGAACCCCTGGTATAGATCATCCCTGACAAGTGTCTGTCTAACCTGCTCTTGAATGTCCGCGTGATGGACATGCTACCACTTCCCCAGGCAATTTATTCCAGTGTTTCACCACCCTGACAGGTAGGAAGTTTTCCTAAAACCCCCTTGCTGCAGTTTAAGCCCATTGCTTTTTGTCCTAACCTCAGGGGCCAAGGAGAACAATTTTTCCCCTTCCTCCCTGTAACACTCTTTTAGATACTTGAAAATTTCTATCATGCACCCTCTTAGCCTTCTCTTTTCTAAATTTAACAAGCCCAATTCTTTCAGCCGTCCCTCCTAGCTCATGTTCTCTAGACCTTTAATCATTTTTGTTGCTCTTCTCTAGACTCTCTCCAATTTCTCCACATCTTTCTTGAAATGTGCTGCCCAGAACTGGACACAAGACTCCAACTGAGTCCTAATCAGCACAGAATAGAGCGGAAGAATGACTTCTCATGTCTTGCTCATAAGACACCTGCCAATGCATCCCAGAATCATGTTTGCTTTTTTTGCAGCAGTGTCACACTGTTGGCTCATATTTAGCTTGTGGTCCACTATAACCCCTAGATCCCTTTCTGCCGTACTTCTTCCTAGACAGTCACTTCCCATTCTGTATGTGTGAAATTGATTGTGTCTTCCTAAGTGGAGCACTTTGCATTTTTCCTAATTAAACGTCATCCTTTTTACCTCAGGCCTTTCTCCAGTTTGTCTAGATCATTTTGCATTTTGACCACATCCTCCAAAGCACTGGCAACTCCTCCCAACTTGGTATCATCTGCCAAGCATAATAATCATACTTTCAATGCCAATATCTAAATCATTGATGAAGATATTGAACAGAACCAGGAACAAAACAGACCCCTGTGAAATAAATTGGCAGCTGGGTACAATATTGGTACATCTTCGCTCTCTGGCCCCACAAAACCCACGGCCAGAATTTCTCTTTCCTTTTTTATGCTCTGCAAAGAGTACCAGGAAGGGACTGCCCCTGGAGTCAATAAAAATCTTTCCATTGATTCACATGGGCTTTGGATCAGACATTGAGTGTGTCAGTTGAGATGGGAGGTCTGTTTGGGGAAACAACAGTTCACGATTAATACTAATGAGGGATCATAATAATGAAGGAGAGCTACATAAAACTCAGGTGATTAGTTAGACAAAAATGACAAGGCACATTTCTGCAAGCTACACTGAAACTTTTAAGGTCACCAGAATAGAGGCACATAAAACTCAGGTGATTAGTTAGACAGAAATGAAAAGGCACAGTACCAAATGTGACATTTCTGCAAGCTGCACTGAAACTTTTAAGGTCACCCGATTAGAGGCGCTACCAAATGACTGGAGGATAGCTAACGTGACACCAATTTTTAAAAAGGCCTCAGAAGTGATCTGAGCAATTACAGGTTGAAAAACCTGACTTAAGTGTCAGGTAAACTGGCTGAAATTATGGTAAAGATCAATATTGCCAGACAGGTAGATGAACGTAATTCTGGGGGGATGAGTCAACATAGTTTCTGTAAAGGGAAATCCTGCTTCACCAATCTACTAGAATTCTTTGAGGGGGTCAACAAGCCTGTGGACAACGGGGGTCTAGTGGCCGTAGTGCACTTAGATTCCCTGAAAGCCTTGGACAAGGTCCCTCCCCAAAAGGTCTTATGGGATAAAAGGGAAGGTCTTTTCATGGACTGGTAACTGGTTAAAAGGTAGGAATTAAAGGGTAGGAATAAGAGGTCACTCTCCAGAATAGAGAGAGGTAAATATTGGTGGGCCGAGAAGTCTGTTCTGGGACTCAACCTATTCAACAGAGTGATAAATTCCTTGCCTGAGGAGGTCGTGAAGGCTAGGACTGTAACAGGGTTCGAAAACGAACTAGATAAATTCATGGAGGTGAAGTCCATAAATGGCTATTAGCCACTATGGGTAAGGAATGGTGTCCCCAGCCTCTGTTTGCCAGAGGGTGGAGATGGATGGCAGGAGAGAGATCGCTTGATCATTACCTGTACGGTTCACTCCCTCTGGGGTACCTGGCATTGGCCACTGTCGTCAGACAGGATACTGGGCTGGATGGACCTTTGGTCTGACTCAGTACGGCCGTTCTTATGTTCTTATGTTCTTAAATGATCTGGAAAATCATGGTAGTGAGGTGGTAGACTCTGCAGATGATACAAAACTGCTCAAGATGGTTAAACACAAGGCAGGTGGTGAAGAGTTCCAAAGGGAGCTTTCAAAACTGGATACTGGGCAACAAAATGGCAAATGAATTTTAACGTTGATAACTGCAAACTAATACACCTCGGAAAACATAATTCCAACTGTACTTATAGAATGAAGGGCACTAAGTTAGTTATTACCACTCAAGAGCAAGATCTTTGGGTAGGTCTAGACTACATGCCTCTGACGACTGAGGCATGTAGATTAGACTACCCGGCATAGGAAAATGAAGCGGCGATTTAAATAATCGGTGCTTCATTTAAATTTACATGGCTGCTGCGCTCAGCCAATCAGCTGTTTGTCGGCTCAGCACGGTAGTCTGGACGTTCCGCGGGCGACATCAAAGGCATTTGTCGACCTCCCAGGTATGCCTCATCTAGACGTACCCTTAGAATCATTGTGGATAGTTCTCTGCCAACATCTGCTCAATGTGAAGTGGCCGTCAAAAAAGTAGTGCACAGTAAACCTGTGGAATTCCTTGCCAGCGTATGTTGTGAAGACCAGGATTTTCAGAGAGTTTAAAAAAATAGATAAATTGACAGAGGACAGGTCCATCAATGGCTATTGGCTAGGATGGGTAGAAATGATGTCCCTACATTCTGTCTTCCAGAAGCTGGGAATTGGCAACAGGATATGGATCACCTGATGATTCCCTGTTCTGTTCATTCCCTCTGGAGCACCTGGCTTTGGTTACTGTCTGAAGACAAAATCTTGGGCTAGATATTTAGTGTGACCCAGTATGGCCACTCTTATGTTATTATGATTCATATTCTCATTATGTTATAGTTGTTGGATGATTCCTTGGGGTTTACTGTGCCTTGGACTCACTCATACAATGATATTGAACAAAAGCGATATCTGTTCTTCCCTTTTGCCAGCACCGTGTCACACCTAATCAAGAAAAACGGCCATTAATTGATGCAGGGATTACAGTTATGACACACACGGCTGAGAGTTTTGTAGAGGACATAGATAACGGGTGTTGAGATGTTTCAAAGTGGAGTCAATTGCATCTCTGTGATCCCTTTCCACCTCTGCAGGTAAATCCAGCCCGGGAAAGGTACTGGCTGCATGTCAGCGCTGACGCGAGCCGGCTAGCACTCGTCTGGAAATACGGTGGGATCTACATGGACACCGATGTCATCTCCATCAGGCCTATTTCTCTGGAAAACTTTGTGGCGGCCGAGGGTTCCCAGGTCTCTGGCAATGCGGTTTTTGGCTTTTCTCACCATCACGGGTTCCTCTGGGATTGCATGGAGGATTTTGTTCGAAACTATAGAGGACACATTTGGGGCCACCAAGGGCCCAGCTTACTGACAAGGAGGCTCAAAGCGTTGTGCAACTTGACCAATTTCCATAACGTAGAGGATATAAACTGCCAGAACATTTCCTTCCTGCATCCTCAGCGTTTCTACCCCATCCCCTACCCCGCATGGAGGCGGTACTTCCAGGTCTGGAAGACAAGCCCCAACTTCAACCACTCCTATTCTTTGCATCTGTGGAACTACATGAACCAGGAACACAAGCCTGTGGTTGCAGGAAGTAACACCTTAGTGGAAAATCTCTTCAAAACACACTGCCCCACCACGTACAAGGTCCTTATTCAAGGCCCAGAAGGCAGTGTTCCATAGGCAACAAATCAAGACTGAATGACGGCATTAGCAGAACAACGTGACTCTTCCAGCCCTGACAGCCCTGGGACTAAATCAATTGTGCACAACACGGATCTCCTCTGAGTCAGTGACTCCCAGCCATTTTCTGTCTGCGGGTGACTTTGTAGGGCCTAATGAATCCAGTAATTTCACAGGGGTGTAAATACTATTGGGGATGACTTGATAAGTATGTCGTGCCCTTTAGGGTACATTTTTCCAAAGCACCGAAGTGATCTAAGTGAGTCCCTTTGTGAAAAATCACATTTGCTTTGGGAACCAAAGCTCCACTGAAAATTAAGATGACTTAAGGAACCGAGGAGTCAGATTTTCAAAGGTATTTGGTGCCTACAGATGCCATTAAGTGCCTTTAACAATTCCCAGCCCAGGAAAGGTACTGGCTTCATGTCAGCTCTGACGCTAGCAGACTTGCCCTCGTCTGGAAATACGGTGGGATCTACATGGACACCGATGTCATCTCCATGAGGCCTATTTTAATGGAAAACTTTGTGGCGGCCGAGGCGTCCCAGGTCTCCGGAAGTGCGATTTTTGGCTTTTCTCGCCATCATGGGTTCCTCTGGGATTGCATGGAGGATTTTGTTCAAAATTACAAAGGAGACATTTGGGGATACCAAGGGCCCAGCTTACTAACAAGGAGGCTCAAAGCGTTGTGCACCCTGACCGATTTCCATAACGTAGAGGATATAAACTGTCAAAACATTTCCTTCCTGCATCCTCAGCGTTTCTACCCCATCCCCTACCCCGCATGGAGGCGGTACTTCCAGGTCTGGAAGACAAGCCCCATTCAACTTCAACAACTCCTATTCCCTGCATCTGTGGAACTACATGAACCGGGAACACAAGCCTGTGGTTGCAGGAAGTAACACCTTAGTGGAAAATCTCTTCAAAACACACTGCCCCACCACGTACAAGGTCCTTATTCAAGGCCCAGAAGTAGTCGATAGGCAACAAAACAAGACTGAATGACGGCATCTAGCAGAGCGAGGTGACCTCTCCAGCCCTGACAGTCCTGGGACTAAATCAATTGTGCACAACACGGATCTCCTCTGAGTCAGTGACTCCCAGCCATTTTCTGTCTGCGGGTGACTTGGTAGGGCCTAATGAATCCAGTAATTTCACAGGGGTGTAAATACCATTGGGGATGACTTGATAAGTATGTCGTGCCCTTTAGGGTACATTTTTCCAAAGCACCGAAGTGATCTAAGTGAGTCCCTTTGTGAAAAATCACATTTGCTTTGGGAACCAAAGCTCCACTGAAAATTAAGATGACTTAAGGAACCGAGGAGTCAGATTTTCAAAGGTATTTGGTGCCTACAGATGCCATTAAGTGCTTTTGAAAATCCCCTTGGGCATCGCTCTACCTCAGTAAGTGTCTCAATGCCTTTCAAAATCTGTCCCCTTAGATACTTCTGGAAATTTTGCGCAGTCCTAGAGCACCATGTGCAATGAGCCTGAGGCTGCACCATGCTACTAAAATATTGATGTTACTGTGAATATAATGACACTCAGCAAACATACCCATACCTCCAGCCCCTCTCCTAATGTTCATTACTGTTGTTTATTTTCCTCCTCCTTTGCTTCAGCTCCGGACCCTGCCTTCTGCACTGTGATATTTAATGCCCCTATAAATAAACGCTCTACCCCACCCAATGGCTCTGAATTGGTATTTCCCCACTTAAGCTTCCCTCAGGCTTCTGGGATGGGTGAAAAAGAAAGGGTGTCTGTGCTCAGTGATTGTTTCTGTCTGTGGTGTCCAACACACCAGCCGCAAGTGGCTATGTGGCTGGCTGAGTGGGGCTAGTTCGCCAAGTAGTAGCCAGAATATTGGCTACTGCTTCAGAACTGCTTGGACACCACAGCTATGTCAGTCTCTCTAAGCCTCTCTAAGCCCCATTCTTAGAGCATTTGGGCATCTCACTTCAACTCTTGAATTTCATCTCCCACAGCCCCGTGCGGCTGGGAAGCTCTGTTCTCCCGGCTGAAGACCCCATCGTGGAACTGAGGCCTGGAGCCCCACGCGGGACCCAGGGACCCACCCCCAGTGCCAGGCGCTGCCGCCACCCACACAGCCCCAGTCAGCCACGGCCTGGCCCTGCCGCTGCCCGGACTCCTGGTGCCAGATCCCCTGCGCCTCAGTTTCTGCCTCCAGGCCCCTGCAAGGCCCAGTCTGGCAGGTGTGCGCTGAGCTCCCCTCGCTCCACACAACACGGGCTGGGGAGGAGCCTCCCTGACAGCCTCAGCCCAGGCCTGAGGGAACCCACTACTGCTTCAGAACTGCTTGGACACCACAGCTATGTCAGTCTCTCTAAGCCCCGCTCTTATAGCATTTGGGCATCTCTTGAAATTCATCTCCCCACAGCCCCGTGCGGCTGAGAAGTGCTGTTCTCCCCGTTCTGCGGCTGGAACACGGGCTGGGGAGGAGCCTCCCTGACAGCCTCAGCCCAGGCCTGAGGGAACCCACTACTGCTTCAGAACTGCTTGGACACCACAGCTATGTCAGTCTCTCTAAGCCCCGCTCTTATAGCATTTGGGCATCTCTTGAAATTCATCTCCCCACAGCCCCGTGCGGCTGAGAAGTGCTGTCCTCCCCGTTCTGCGGCTGGAGACTCCAGCCATGGAATTAAAGGCCGGAAGCCCCATGTGGCACCCAGGGACCTACCCCTTCCTAGACTGACACAAACTGAGCCGAGGAAGGAGGTCTCCCTTTCATCCTTCAGCCCATGTGTGAGGGAACTCACATCATTGGAGGGGGTTGCCAGTTCAACTCCCCCCGCATCCAGCAAGGGGAAATGATTGGACCCTAAGCGTGTCTTCTCCCAGTGGAGTGACTCAGAGGGACCCAGACCCTGCCCCAGGGGGCACTCTGGGGAGAGCCTCTCCCGGTGTCGCTCAGTGCGGTGGGTGCAAATAGCTGTGTGTGCGCCGGGGCACAGGGAGCACGGCCCTCGGTGCATCCTCAGGCGGGTAGCCGGTGCCAGGCTGCGGTGACAGGGCTGTTCCTAGCACGTCCGCTCCCCAGAGCCAGCACCTGACCGCGACCGCCG